AGAATTTAATGCCGGCTCAGACCGGCAGCGCGTCTGTCTCCTGCAAAGCAGTCACCGTGCTCGTCAGGGTGCCTTGCCCGGCCCAGCAGCCCCTGCCTTTGCGTCTTGCCGGGGAAGTGTGCCACCCAAGGGAGGCAGCGTTTCCTACATCATCAGACCATTTATTTAAAAGTAAAATTTTAATTTAAATAAATACATAAAATGAAAAGCTTTCGGTAACTGATCACCACTCTGTGTCTCTCTGTTTCTCTTGTTTGGGTTTTCTGGAGTCTCTCAGATCTGCAAGTTTATATCTTTCATCAGATTTTGAAAAGGTTGGATGCCCTTTCTGCAAAGCCGTTTCTGAGGTGACCTCTCGCTCTCCTCGCTCCTTCTGGGGCTCTGGTTACACTGACCTTCGCCCTTGCCATTGTCCCACAGGCCACTGGGACCAGGCTCTCCCCCGCCCACATCCCGTGTCCTGGCTGGGACTGCCTCGCACCCCAGCCCAGGTTACTCACCTTGGCTTTGGCATGTCTCTTCTGCTGTAAAACTGAAGTTTCCCTTTCAGACTTGGACCCCAGTGCTGCAATCCCAGTCGGTCCTTTTATATTCAGCTTTTATTTCTCATCATATTTGTGTCTTCTTTAACTCCTTAACCATGTTCTTAATAACTTCTCTAGATAATTCCTAACTGTGTTATAAAGTGGTCGTGCCAATTAACACTCCTGCTCGTGGTGTGAGGGCCTCTGTGATCTAGTTTCCACTGTTAGTGTCCACGCAGTTGGTGTGTTCACTCTAGAGGGCGTGGGACCCGCTCCTTACTGTTTCCATGCTCTTCTTCCTGATGGCCGCGGGAGGTGGCACCTCTCCAGGTATTGGTTGGCCATCTGGGTTTTCTGTTTGTCACGCATCTGTTTCCATAGTTCCCCACTTTCCTATTGGATTGACCCTCTTATTCATTGCTGGGAATGATTTATGCTTGTAGACAAGAGAGCTTTGTGGGTACATTGGCAAATGGCTGGCTGCACTCTGTGTCTGGTCTCTTTTTAATGATGTCTTCTGATGAGAAGTTTTGAGTTGGGATACCATCCAGTTGATCAGTCTTTTCCGGTGTTTTGAACCCATTTTAAAAATCTTCCTGAGATCCTGGAGA